GAAGTAAAGTTAATGGAAGCTGCACAATAGTTTTGGGTCTGTTCAGGTAAATTTGAACCAAGTCTTACCATTGTTTTGGGTATTTGTATTTACTGTTTCCAGTATAAGCCCTGGGCTTCCTTCAGCACACTGAAAAACTTGCTTTTCTCCTACATATAATTCATTTCAATTTAGAGCCACCCTGGAACACTAAGGCAGGGGATTTCTCTTCATTTTAGGTTTGCTAGACACACAAAGATGTCAACTCAACTAGAGGATGAATTTTCTTTTTTGAGACAGAGTCTCACTCTGTCACGCTGGGTAGAGTGCTGTGGCATTATCATAGCTCACAGTAACCTCAATAACCTGGACTCAAGAGATCCACCTGCCTTGGCTTCCCAGTGTGCCGGGATTACAAGTGTAAGCCACCATGCCCAGACCTGGGGATGAATTTTTACAGGGTGGATATTGAGGCCTTGGACCTAAAAGGGGCTAACTCAATCTGTTTGGAAAGGATGAATGAATTTCTTCCATTTAAACTGGGAGGTTAGGTCATCTACAGCTGTCACCCACTCTCCACCCATCAATATGGGGCCCACAGCTAATTGGTGGTGGCCACTTACCTGCTGAGATAGGACAAACCAACAGGCCCATGTGAAATCTCAACACTCTCAAGTGAATCATGTTGAATTTGAGCGGTCTGGCTTTCTGCCCATGTGTGCACGCTGTGAAGACAGTGGGATAGGCGACTGCTGCTAGGGGACAACCAGCAGAGACAAAGCCAGTAAAACGTGACGTGACCCTGCTGCCTTATTTTCTCTGACCTCCTATCACAAATTAAGAATAAAAGTCTCCTCAAGCTGTTAGCTGCACACACACAAACATACATACTGTCCTGTCATCTGAGAGCAAGTCAGATAGCTCAGAATCATAATGCTGGCTCCAGGCCCCTGGTGGGCCATGCACCACCTCTGGTCAGTTCCCCTTTTCAAAGCTGCCCTGTGAAATTTGGGGCTACATTTTTTTTTT